TCTCCGAAGTACGCCGACTTCTTTGGATGGGCTTCGCGCAAAGGCACTTCCCCGGAGTGTGGTACGTGTAGCAAACTTGCCAAGTTCGAGGATGGTGACGTGCTGGACTTCACGTTGCACTGCGAGCAGCACGCTTTGCGCATTTACCAGCGACGCACCAAGATGTCCGAAACCATCTGGGCCCAGTCAATGGGAGGATGTCAGTCTCTGCGTATGATGGTCCACTTCGGCCACCCCGGGCAAAGCGTAATGATCTCCTGACTGCAGTTTTTTTTTGCTTCCAGCCGAGTCTCACGCGAACCATGAATTTTTTTTTTTAGAAGTTGCTATGGTGATACAAGTGTTACGTTCTCGCACGCACTCCGATACAGGCTCATCATACACTAGTGGTTACCATGGTTACGCTACTCTACATCTGTACACTAGTTACTGTTGTGTTGTAATTTCACAAATTTTCGGTGTACTTTTATTTTCGGTGCTTTCGGTGCGTCTGTTTCATACCTGAAATTTCAATACACCGAACAAATACTTACTAACACACATAATCCAATAGGGAACTGCTTCTCTGTACCTAAAATTTCTGTTCACCTAACCTAGCCTTTTGCCCTCATACCGAAAATATTGAGCACCTAAAATTTCTGAAATTACAGTATTCTATTGCATGTACCAGTAGTATTATCTATGAAATCTCCCCGAGGCTAGTGCCAAGTTACAGTCCAACATAGATGGCGTTATTCATTGGATGGAAAAATGGAAATTGCAGCCCAACTCTTCGAAAACTGCTGTAATGTGTATCCCCCCCCCCCCCCCCAGTTGTTCCTGTGACCTATCTTCATTAGTAACCCCTCATCTTAACGTGTATAACTGGTTCCGAATCACAGATGGCTCCCAGACAAGATGCTCTGTTGCCCTCCCCTTGGCTAAAACGTCCTCCCTTGTACGCTCTCCACTCTTTGTTGCTTACTCTGCTTGGCTTGCGCTGCCCGCTACTACGCGCAATGCCAGTACCCTGGACGCATTTAAATCTGCTCACTAGATTCACCATCACCTGTCCCTCCCATGCTTCTCCGTCTTGACCATTACTTTTCTTCTTTTATTCACCATGGTTGGTTAACACCCACATCTCCCGTACTGGCTGATTTTCTTCTCATGCCATGAGGTGTTGTCTATAATAATAATAATAACCAGTCCCTTCACCTTTCCAGGCACCACAACCCAGCTCTGCATCGTTGAAAAACACAAGCATCTTGGCGTCATTATTGACCAACACTTAACCTGGAAATCCCTGATCGAAAATTTAGACAGCCGTGTTAGCTCAGTAATGGGATTTCTCTCGTCACACATCACCCACCTCCACACCGACTGTCGCCATGTTATCTACACATCTTACATTCTGCCTATTTTTGATTACTGCTGCATAATTTGGGCTGGCATTTCTAAAACACTGATTGCTCGACTCGAAGTTATGCATAGGCGTCTTTTGAAAATATTATTTCGGCTTCCTCGCCTGACTCCAAGCGCAGACTTATACCGCCTTGCTTCTGCTGTGCCGCTCTCGGTCCGCGTGCGTTTTTTGGCATGCCAGAAAATTCATAAAATTAAGCTGGGCATTGCTCCTCTTCATGCTCTCTCCTGCCTAAGCTGGTTTGCTCAATCTCAAGACATGCGCACCAGAAACTCTCTCCGCTTCCCTATTGCGCGGTCTGCCTCTATGCAAACATCTCCTCTCTTCCTTGCTTACCGCCATTGGTCTCTCCTCCCACAACATCTAAAATCCTGCCAATGTTACAATACATTCACACAGCTACTGCAGAATGCAACATACTAGTTGATATCCAGCCCTGCCCTAACTTCTCCTGCTTTTCAGTTCCCCTTTCATTCTTTTTCTTTCTCCCCTCTAGCTCTATTACCGCCATGGCTGGCTATCGCCCACATCACCATTTCATTGGCTAGTGCCACGTGATTGTGAATAAATAATAATAATAAAAATAATAATATGAAACTCGGATGTTGAGCCATAAATAAATGTAGAAGAGAAAAGGACATATGGATACGAGTTAAGAGTAACTTTCCATCACTGTAACATGATACAATGTCATGCATGAGGAGTACTGTAGGAGTTTGGCTTTCGGCTTGTACAATTCGTTTTCGCAAAGCTTCCCTTTCTTTACTTATCTTTGATATTTTTGACCCACCCGATTTGGGTGGTGTGCTGCTTTGCTGCTTCGAATTGTAGTTAGACCGCTTTGTCAAATATCGTACTGGTCTCGTCATCGTCCAGTAACAATCGACATTCTTTGTTCCGTTGGGACTGTAGCTTTTGCTCGTTTTCGTTGCGCTTGCCTTCCCCTCTTTGGTCTTTCCATAACCTTGAACCTTCCAAGTTGGAAGGCTGTCGGTTAGCGCTACGGAGATGTGTTGAAGCTAGGTGTCAGGACGTCGAATGTTTCAGTACTCTGTCAGTTTTGTGCCTAGTTATTGCACTTTCTGACTGTATAAAGTATCATGTTACAGTGATGGAGAGTTACTCTTAACTCGTATCCATATGTCCTTTTCTCTTCATTGCATTCCCAACTCATCACAACCACGCGCTCTTCAGCCGAACCATACAGACACCAGCAAGGACACTTCCGTTGAGAGATAATATTGCTCCACGCCCCTAGACAGCTGTTTCACTCCCTGTCGGAGCTCATCAGTAGAGGATGATAATGATGATAATGGAGGAATGATCATTCTTATACACCAGAAATGGCGCAAGTGCGCGCTTTCCACATATGGCATATGCAAGCTGCTAAAATGGTAAAGTGTGAGAACAGCGATAAAATAATCATAGTACGCGCTCATTGGTGGAGAAACACACCACACAAGCGACGAAAATCTTACTCGGAATACTGATGCCAATGGAAAGTACACGTATGTTGTTTATTATTATGATGTTGCAATGTCCATGTATGCAGGCGAGGCGAGACTCGCCGCCGAGATCCCCCAACGCGACAGGCTCGGTTGCCGTTCAGGATTCACACCGACCTGTCCGCCCGTCAACAGGATCGACAGCGGGAGGCTCCACTGATGCCGATGTCGATGCATACCAGGAAACTTGTAAGCTCTGTCGCAATATTTAGTTCCTTTTCTCTTCTACAATAATAATAATAATAATAAATGTACTACACCCTGCTACACTGTATCATGTTTATAGGCTATTTTCTATAATAACTCGTTGTTTCCATTCTCTTCCATGTACATGTACATGCAATTGGGCGACACCACCCCGGTTTGGTTCTGCAAATTCAAATAAAAAGTTAACGTACCTGCCTACATTCCCGGAGTTAGGGCGGTAAGAGCCAGCCTGAGGAGGTATATTATGGCACCGCAGGCCGCGCACCTGAGGGCCTTTCTGGAAGCCTTACTCGATCGGATAGAGCGAAACTGAGCACCCTGGGATGCGAGCAGTTTTTAGTACTCCCGGGTCAAAAATCTCACCACCAGGCCGGTCTGATCAAAACGTCTGCCGGGTCTGCAGCCTACAAACGTGGATCTGCCGACACTGTGCTGTCGACTACATGTCCCGCAAGGCACCTTGCGTGAAAGCAAGGAACGTTTTTTTTAGAAAGGAAGCTTCTTCCCCAAAATTTAAAAAATTTTGAAAATTATTCCTTCTGAAAATATCATCGCGCTCTTGACCTCGAAGCTGACTGCTGAATGCGCTTAGGAAAGAAGATTCCTGAAGATGCACCAGACTGATTCTGGCAAACCGTCTGTCGTCTGGATATGCACTGTTGTTCGTCATGGTCAGCAATCTTCTTCGTTCGTCCTTTCGTTTTCCTGACCACGATGATGACAAGCAGCTCTCATGCTCAGGTTAGTGCTACTTGTATGTCTGGGCACACAACACATCTGAGATGCACCCACTGACGTTATCGAACTGAAGAATGCAGCAAGGGTTCCTCGGATTCTCTTGATTTCGGAACAAATTTCCTTCACTTTCACCCTCTCATCTCAGTCTCTTCCCCATGTGCCCTCATATGCGCATGCACAATGGAGCTTGCATTTCAAATGTTGTTTTTACTTTGGCAGTGCGTTCGATAACGTTAGGACAGTCTAAGTTAGGTGTTTTTCTCTTCAGGCTTATTGGGCCTGTAAAAATTCTAAAAAATAGCTTCCAAAATGTAATGCTAAACGCAGGTCCCTATGATTATGAATACGGTTCTGCTGGGCGATGATGTTTGCACCAATCTACACTCTATGCTGTCACAGCACCCACAACTGATCCTCTC